ATTATTGGCCTTCCCAGACAGTTGTGCAATACAGAATACTCCAATTCAATGCAGCAAAGAAGACTTAACTTCATGTCCAGTCCAAAGAACAACAGAAACAGGTGTTTGAGGCAGCTTTATGTCATTAATACAGCCAAGCTCTCCTCTTATTCTCTGCCATGCTATTTTTGACACCAGGGCTGAGGTGTTACCTGGGCTTTCCATCAGTCTAATCTCAATCTCCTGATCAAAATCTCAGGCCCCTACACTACCTGCTCCTTCCTATTACAAATAATGTGAAAATAATTCTGCCTGAAAAGCTGCTTTGGGAATTTGAGGTTTAATGGCACCATCAAGAGCCCTTTGCAGAAGTGTTCACACAGAAAAGTGCACGTTTGCTCCTGCACCCACATGGATGCAAGAGAAATTTCAAATATTTCCTTTTTTGTTGCTTTTAAGTCTCCTTTTCTTAGCTTCCCACCCTTTACCCTCAAAGGCTGAAAATGTTGGAGCATGGTCTACTTCAAAAGCCAACAACTGTTCCAGCACTGCTGGTTACCTCAACCACACACAATCTTCCCTCCTTCTTAGTGCAATTTACCTCTGAGGAGAAATTCTTTGGCTTCCCACATTAAAACACCCCATTGAGGTTCTCAGTATTTAACAAAACTAATGCATAATGTGATAAATTAAACTACTCCAACCCACAACCTACCTAAGAGAGGCTTAAAAAAAACTCAGGGAAAGAACAGCTCCAGTTAAAACCTCTGTTGAAAAGGCGAGGGAAAAGCATCAAAAAAGTTTACCAGAAAGGTAATGGAGGAAGAAGGTATCATTGCCCCTTTTTAAAGCTCTTCTCTTGCAAGCTCACAGCCTGAAATATGAAATAAATTTTCAGGGAGCGTTTCAGTGAAATATATTATAGATGAATCATTGGAGACACATATCTCACCAGATTTGTCACAGCAATAAAACCCTGACCTAAGGAACATGCCCTGAGACAGCAGAGGGTAGAGTCCTGTCAGCCTTACTGAGTAATAACTCCTCCATCAGCAGTCAATTACGGGGCTATTACCAGCGACAAAAACCTGTGAGATGTGCTCCAAACTGGAGAGCTGAGAGACTTTTCCCAGGAGAAATGGCAACCTCTGAGGTCAGCAGACAATGCTCATTTTTTTCCTGCCCTGAGGCTTCAGCCTTCACATTATCCCACCCTTCCCTGGGGAGAAATGGTGATGGTGGATCCCAGCTCCTTCCACTTCCCATGGAAATAAATCACCCCTTCCCACGTGGATGGTGGAAGCCTAATCATCGAGTGCTCAGTTAAAAAAACACTGCACAGGTAGCACCACCAGGAGAAAACCAGATGTGCTTTGTTGAATTTATTTCTGCCTTATTCATTTGAGTTGAATGAAGAATTACTCCAGATTTTTTGTTACCACTTTTTCCCCCCAAGGATTCATGTCTTTTATAGTTTTTGCAATATTATCATCAAAGAGAGAAAGAGAGAAAGAGAGAAAGAAAGGAAGAAAGGAAGAAAGGAAGAAAGAAAGAAAGAAAGAAAGAAAGAAAGAAAGAAAGAAAGAAAGAAAGAAAGAAAGAGAGAGAAAGAAAGAGAGAAAGAAAGAAAGAGAGAAAGAAAGAAAGAGACAAAGAAAGAGAGAAAGAAAGAAAGAGACGAAGAAAGAAAGAAAGAAAGAAAGAAAGAAAGAAAGAAAGAAAGAAAGAAAGAAAGAAAGAAAGAAAGAGAGAAAGAGAGAGAGAAAGAGAGAAAGAAAGAAAGAAAGAGAGAAAGAAAGAAAGAGACGAAGAAAGAAAGAAAGAAACAAAGAAAGAAAGAAAGAAAGAAAAAGAAAGAGAGAAAGAGAGAGAGAGAGAAAGAAAGAAAGAAAGAAAAAGAAAGAGAGAAAGAGAGAAAGAGAGAAAGAAAGAAAGAAAGAAAGAAAGAAAGAAAGAAAGAAAGAAAGAAAGAGAGAGAGAAAGAAAGAAAGAGACAAAGAAAGAAAGAAAGAAAGAAAGAAAGAAAGAAAGAGAGAGAGAAAGAAAGAAAGAGACAAAGAAAGAAAGAAAGAAAGAGAGAAAGAAAGAAAGGAAGAGAGAAAGTGAGAAAGAAAGAAAGAAAGAAAGAAAGAAAGAAAGAAAGAAAGAAAGAAAGAAAGAGAGAGAGAAAGAAAGAAAGAGACAAAGAAAGAAAGAAAGAAAGAAAGAAAGAAAGAAAGAGAGAGAGAAAGAAAGAAAGAGACAAAGAAAGAAAGAAAGAAAGAGAGAAAGAAAGAAAGGAAGAGAGAAAGTGAGAAAGAAAGAAAGAAAGAAAGAAAGAAAGAAAGAAAGAAAGAGAGAAAGAGAGAGAGAAAGAGAGAGAGAAAGAAAGAAAGAAAGAAAGAAAGAGAGAAAGAGAGAGAGAAAGAGAGAGAGAAAGAGAGAGAGAAAGAAAGAAAGAAAGAAAGAAAGAAAGAAAGAAAGAAAGAAAGAAAGAAAGAAAGGAAGAAAGAAAGAAAGAAAGAAAGAAAGAAAGAAAGAAAGAAAGAAAGAAAGAAAGAAAGAAAGAAAGAAAAGAAAGACCAAAAGCACAAGATAATGCTAAGCATGCATGAATCACAAAGATGCCTTAACTTACTATTTAAATTTTTTTGGTGTAATACTCACATTAAAGGATCATATAACCCAACCATCCACTTCTAAGAGATTTCTTAACTTGTTTACATTTCAGCCTGAATGAGTAATCATCAAAAACTTTCTAGACATTGCATTCCATAAATTCATGATGGCAGGAATGAGCTTCTCATTGCTGTACACATTAACTGCAGTGACTGACTGAAAATCACAGTGACCACAGTGTTTGCCAATCCAGGAAAGTTCCCTCCTTTTGTATTCAGTAAATGCACTGAGGAGAATACAAAAGTGACATGTCATACGAGCTCTTAAGTACATCTTCCCCTAAAAAGGGTAACTGTGGTGTGAACTTCACACTCCCTCTGGAAGGTTCTGGTCTCATTTTCAGCAGAACCCAATTTTTGCCTGGTTGAACTTTTTTAAGAGAAGAAGGAGTTGTTGTGTGAGACAGAAACCCCAAAGTCTGGTTTGTCACCCTCTGAGAATGCCAGATTGCAGGGCAGATCTGTGGTTTCTCCTACCTGAGTCACTGGTGGTGGCAGACCACACTTTAAATAAACTTTGCATTAGGGCTCCAAAAATGTGAACCGCAAGCAATGAATTAAACAAATGCAGAGAGAGGATCCCCAGAGAGCCCTGGGCTCACCACAGGCTCCGAGTGCTTTTAACGGGGTGGAAGTTCATCCAAAGAAAGACAAATCCAGTTTATTTCAGTATTGGGATGCAATGCTAAAGGAATTCTTTCCAAATAAATTACATATACCTGCAAAGACTTGAAAAAACCTTTTGAAGATACAGAAAGGGAGGAGAGCATGAACACTAGGCAAAAAAAAAAAAAAATCTACATTTATCATTAACAAGTAAAAACCCTGCAGCAGCTCATTCTACCCACAATTACACACATGACTAAGTTTAATCAGGCCCTGAAGTCAAGAACAAACAGCGAGTGTGAGCACCATAACAATCGTGTTTAAAATAAATATTGCATTCCCTGCTTGACCTCTGATGGAGCAAGGGATGGCAAGGCAGGTGGCACAAGCCTCTTCCTGGCAACTCCCAGGACCTTCAAACACACCCTCAGAAACATGATTACGTTTCTCTGGTTTGCTTAGGTGATTCTGAGAGCTCCTAAAAATACCTGGAACCCTTTTAGAGCTCTCTAAAGAAGCAGGGATTATGTGTGAAAAAAGAAATAATTTAATTACTGGTGGCAAAGATGCCACCAAGCTGACCTGCACCTCGAAATTTCAGCAAAGCCAAATGCAGTGAGGTAAGGTTTCTCTTTCCATCAATTTAAATTTAGGCCTGACCATGATAGTCACTCCATTTTATCGCTCAAGCAAGAGGTACCAAACCAGCAAAAGTAAAATTTTCAATTGAAATAAAAAAAGAAGGAAAAGGCAGTAACAGTGACATCAAATGTGCTAAACCAGACCTATGAAACTGAAATTTTTGGCACGCAGATTAACCAATAAGTCAGAGTCACAGTGCTCCGGGCAAACAGAGAATTCTTCATTAAAGAAAAATAAAAACAAGAAAAAATTACATGTTACTTTTCAGTCAGTTGGATTAAGAATATCTCTTAACACTTGCTTCTAAGAATTATGGATCACTTCCTCTGTAATAACTTCTTTTAAAATTATTTTTCTAGTCCTAGTCTCAGGAGAATCCAGCGTGTTTGCATCCATAAAAATGTTTTTCCTGTATTTAAGATGCCTTTCCCCAAACCACTTCTGTAATTGTACATCCACTCAGTGGCAGGCATGCATGAAATAGCACAGAAATTATGAATACCCTCGAGCAGCAGGAATGGATTATATTTTGAAATATACAGAATAACTTGTAGATATTTTGAGCCTTATCCAGCAAAGCTTTTCTCCTAGGAAAAACATGTGTGAATGAGAACCAGAAAAGATCCTTTATTAGCAAAAAATGAAACACAGAAATAAAAAGGTTTTGTTTCTCTTAAGTCATTAAAAAAAAAAAAAACACCTCAATTTTGATAAATCAAAGTGGAAAGGGGTAAGTTGAAATGGAAGCTTTTTGCTGATTTATTTTTATTTCAGTTATAGAGACTCCATCTCTGTTCCACTGTAGTCTGTGACTGCAGGTTTTGTTCAATGACTACGCTTCATTTTTTAAATTATATTAAAAATGTTGCCATCTCCAGCAGGTGCTATCTGCTCTCAAGTAGGTTCCAGGACTTTTAAAGTGAAAATATTATAGAAACATCCTGTTATTTACAGGATTCATGCTGACAGGCCATAGAGCTAAGCTTTTATATTAAATGCATATTCCACACAGCTAATAGTGCCATTCATATGAAGCCCCCAAAGAGATTTGGGTAATGCCTCAATAAGCATAACTTCTAACTGTGGATTGGGAATGCTCTTCTTAAGTTTTTTTTCTCCACCAATTACAAAATGCAAATTGTGAAAAGCAGAATTTGCATCTTAACTTGACTTATATATTATCTCTGCCTTGCACCTTATGAAATTGCCAGAGATTAAGTTACAGTTAAAGCTGCACCAAGACCAACGTGGTGTACTGGAATCAAAATTATTTTATTTTACTTCCTGGCTCAATTGTGTTTTGAAAAGTAAGATCTACTTTTTGTCTTTACATATTTTTAAAATGTGCAAATTGAGAGTAATAGGTCAGCTGTTGTTAACTAAAAGTAACATCTGTCTGCCCAAAGAAGCATTTCCTTCCACTGGATATCTCTGATTTAAGAACAAGCTGCTAGAGAGTTGGATAAGCCTCATTCTTGGCAGTTGGCTAACCCACTAATTATCGTAAATTTCTACTTTATCCTAAGGTACATCTTTATTTCAGCAAATAATTAAACAGTTAATTTAGTGACCTTGTTCCACAAATCCTAGTTCAGTTCCTTGCTGCTATCATGGCTACTTTCACTAAGCTTAATATTATCCAAAGCACATTGCCAAGTTTCATTAAAAATGTTGATTTAGCCCTTTAATAAATTGCCACAGTAATACTAGATGTCTATATGGATAAATTCAATTCAAGTCCTTTTCCTGCCACTGCACCCACACACAAAGCATGAGAAAGGCAGCGCTCCTTTTGCTCCAATTTCTGTGTCAAACAGATTTTTATTTGCATTCCTCTGAGTATTTTTTGGTCATATCCACGAATATATTTTCATACCAAGGAGCAGAGAATTGCCACACATCTAGCCTCAACATCCATAAATCTAAAATATTTGCAGAAATAGAATCCTTTAGGTTTTGATGACTTAGTATTTACTGTAGATGCTCTTGAATTTGAGATAAATGCTACTTTCTTAGCATACTCTGAAGTCTTATGAGAAGTATATGAAAGTTAAGACACATTTTTTCTTAAAAGTTAAGACACAAGTTATGTGGTAACACTGAAAAACTTTGCATTTTTAAGAAACAATCTGAAAGGCAAAGGGAAAAGAAAACCTTGGGCGCTTTCCTTTGCTTAAAAGGTATTTTTAAGTGGTATTTCTTTAGGATTTTGTACCAAGGAGCTCAGGATATAGCAGCTTTGGGTGGTGGTGGTGGGTTTGTGGCAGCCCTTCCCTGGCCTGGAGAGTGCTGGTGATGTCACCAGAAATTCCACGTGGGAAACAACCCTAAATAAGCTGTATTTGATACAGCAAGACCTGTGGGAGAAGGGTTTTTTGTGTGACTTGGCCTCGAAGCATTTCCATTTGTATTTACACTAAGGAGCCAGCCCTGGCTGCAGGTCTGAGCAGGAGAGCCCAGGAAGGAGGGAGGACTCCTCGGTCCATTTGCAGATGTGATCACAAAACCAGATCAAATCTGGCACTTCAAGTTAACTTACCCCACTGCCACCCCTTTGCTTGGATAAATAAGTTTTAAATTTTTTTTTTTTTTTTTTTTTTAGCTCAGTGACACAATACTGGAAAACATTTTGGGCAGGACCCCAACGTGCTGTCAGCTTAAGATAAAGCCCTTTGCAGCACCAAGGATCTGGCATTCCATCAGCACAAATTACTGGAGTAATTACAAATTACTCCATTATACCTTTATTTGTGAACAGGATCACGGCCCTAATTCTACATCTCCCCACTTTTGAGAGGATGAAGAGAAGTGAAAATTATTAGCCAAGCAAAAGACTGAAAACTTGATTAGCAGCTGGCAAAAGACTCCAGGTGAAACTCAGAAACTTCAGTTGAGAAAAATAACCAGCAAAGTGGAAATTATTTCAGTTCAGCTTTTGGAATGTTTCAGGTAAACAGGGATATTTCCTACCTCCCTATCTAATCCAAGAATTGCCACATGAAGTGCAAAAAAGGAAAATGGAGATAGAGACTGATAGAATGGATCCATATGTCCACTCTCAAATTATAACTAATTATATTGAGGCCAAAAGGAAGAGCCACTCTTTAGATTCAGCCCTGACTCAATCTGTAAGCAGAGTAGAAATTCTTTGCACATATGAAGATCATAATGCTGCTCTGTTTCTGCTAAAATTTGCCTTATTTCAAAGAATTAAACCAAAAATATCACTATCTTCTTAGTTGTCCCCCTACACATTCATAAACAGACAATTACTCAGTCCAAGGCCTCTGTATATTTGCAATACTTTGCCTCCATAGGTTTCCCTCCAACAATCAGTATTAAATAAAATGAACCCGAATTTCAGACAAACATAGGCAGGCTGTCAAAATCCAAATTTGATCAAATCCAAACTGACCAAATACAACTTGGGGAAAGGGCATTTTCCATTGTAAGGAGCAAAAAAGCAAGGTCTGACGTATTTCTAAACCATCCTAAAAAAATATGAAATTTTTTAACTAATAAAACAGGGTTGTAAATGCAAACATTTCTAGCTGGCGTCAAACCACAACTTTTACGTCAAAATGAGATAATTGTCCTGCTGATTTAAACAGAAATCTTTGCTAATCATGGGAAATGTCTTTGTAATCTACTTGTGTCCATGGCTGTTTAAAGAGTTAACAATCCATGGAATCCAGGATATTTACATGCAAAATATGTATTTTCAAATGTAATTTGCCATATATTTAGGGAAAAAAACCTGGTTTTCTAAGAAACACTACCAAGGCCATCAGAGCTCTGAGGGAACTTTATGCACAGCTATAAGCAACTCCCAGAAAATGTGGAAACACTTCCAGAAGTTGAAATGGACACAAGGAAAATACTTTGTGTTGTAAGAGCAGACTGTTTTTTCTGCCTGGAGACTTCATGTTCAGGGAAAAAAATGTATTAAAGATGGAATTGAGACGTAATTTCTTTGCACTAATCCCAAAGGCAGAATCTCAGGGTGGTGAGGTTGGAACCTCCTCAACCAGGGGTTGTCCATACCAAGCTGGGTTTGGAGTCCCACGAGGTCTGTGAGCATAAAAACATTTCAGTACATTTAAAACCTGCTTACTTTTCCTGGGCTGGCTGCTCTGCCTCGTAATTAGCCACTTTAGCTCCTGTGCCTGCAGGTTTTGCTGTCCTTTGTCTTCGTTTTCTCCTGGGAGCTGGGTCCACGATGTCTGGGCTGCCCAGCAGGGAGGAGTCCCTTCGTTCCAGAGCTGCCAAGAGGAAAAGCAACCAAGGTCAAAAGAAATATAACATTTGAAGTGTTTCAAGACAACCCTTACAATATTTATTTTCTGCATCTTTCTCATTAAAATCTCTACAGTCCCAAGATGGCCTCAGGTCTGGGAGAAGTTTGTGACATAAAGGCAAGTTCAAAAACACTGAATTTAGACTAGAAGATAATCTTCCTTCTGTACCTCTCCCGCCAGTGGAGAGAAAGACCAGCAACCTTAAACTGGACAATCTGTCTGGATTTTCACTGCCTCCTTTGCTGAAGCTGAGTCCAGGTTCATCTACCTATTTAAATTACCACGTAAATTCATAAAATAATGCTTTATCTACACTTAAACAACAAACCCCTCTCCACTTTCACAATTACCTACTAAAACCTCAAATGTCAAGATGAACATATCATTCCTCGAGCAAAAAATCCTCCATATAAAAAAAACAACCTATTAATGCATTCAGAAGTTATGCAGACATTTTAATTCCAGCTATCAACATCCTGCAGTGTATTTTCATTTGGTATGCCTGCTTTCAAAATGAAATCGTAAATTACCTATAATTTTCAAGACAACGATACCCAGAACAGCACAAATTTCAGCTGGAATATATTCAATAATAATGTGGTGATTGAGGCTGAAGCTATTAGGGTAACTTCCCTGTTTATTACGTTTCTGTGCATTTTAGGGTGGTTTAATCCTCACGTGGATGAAAGATGCCATAATTTGAGATTCAACACAAACGTTTTTCACAGAATGTAAATAACGAGTCTTTTTCCCCCATTCCTTTCACAATTGTTATCCACGTGTACTGAAAATGAAGCTGGGCGGTAACACACAGCCCACAAGTGGCATTTTCACCATTTCTCAAAGAAACATCTGTTTCTGGCCAAGAACACTGATAAATTAATCAGAGGCTCTCTAGAGCCTCTGCCCTCAGTGAAGCGCACACTTAACATTTAATAATATTAAATATTCACCAGCACGCACTACACTACATCACAGACTTGCAGATAGTTGCAGGGTGACAACAGGTATTAGCTGACATATTTCCAAGGCACAAGCTAAAAAACAAGTTCCAAAGTCCAGCACAGACAAGACACATTCCTACAATAAATGCTGAGAAGGGCTAGACGACACCCTAAGTCTCCATACTTAACTTTAACCACATAGACATACTTTTCCAGTGTTAAATGCTGAAAATATATTTATGATGGTTATTCTTTACCTGTCTGGGTCAGTGTGTCCAATTTGCACAAACACATTTTATATATTTCGACATCACTGTTCAAAGTTGGCCTCTTCATAATGAATGCACAGTTTGCAGTCAAGAACCCAACAAACTGGAATAATTCTACTATCATAACTCCTATCCCTGCTGTCTGCTGTTCTCCTCCCACACTCTCTTTTTCAGCCAAAAAGTAGATCCAGAAGTGAACCTCATGTATAAAACCTGAATTTCCTAGCATAATAAAAAATGTCTCTCTGTTTTCACCTGTGCAATGTGCACTGGTGAACACAGCCCTCGTGCTCAGCAGGTTTTTGTTGTTTAGACACATGATTCTTCTCTAAGATTAATTTTAAAAGTACTTTATTTTCTTCTGTTTCTAAAAAAATTAATTTATTTTAATTATACCAAAGGAAAGGCTTTATATATATATATATATATATATATATATATATATATATATATATAAATAGCAGCAGACTGGCTTATGGGTGAGGGTTGATGACCACAGGCTTGAGAATTTTTTTTTTTTTTGGTGTTTGTTTCTCTCTTCTAAGCTAAAACTCTCAGAACTGCTGAAAAAAAGATGGAATACACTTGACTCCCACAGTACCATGCATCACCACTGGACTTTAAACACACACCCACTACTGCTACCCAAAAATAATTCCCATTAATGAATTCATTTATAGCCCTTGACTAAAAGCCAAAGAAAGCTTCAGCAAAATATTATTCATTGCTCAATGTAAAAATCTTTCGGAAAAATGAGAGACAGCCTTAGGCACAAGCCTAGCTTTTCATCCTGAAAATATTTTCTGTCCAAATTTAAGCAATGTTTTAAGGAAGGAAAGTTCATTGACTCCTCGTGAAATTAAATTTCTCACTTTTATATTATGTAATTCAATATGAATGATTGTTACACCTTTGAGAGGAATAGTAGCAATTTAGACACAGAAGAGAGTCCTGCTGGATGAAAAACAGTAATTAAACCTCCTAGCCCAAACATTGATTAAAAAAAGAAAATATTCCCAACAGATAACATACTTTCTGCAGGTGAATAACTTCAAGAAATAAGATTTATAAGAGAGCAAGAAGGGGATCATGGTTCAAATACTAGAAGAATATTTGTGCCGAAGAGATTAAAGGCTTTAAATAAAAACTCCCTGATGGTTGGAGGGTTTTTTGTTGTTTGGGGGGTTCTTTTTTCGTAATTTTGAAGAGTGATATTATTTGGTGGGTTGAAGGAGCTTTCCAATAGGGTATTCTAAGAAATAACTGAAAATTAAAAGTAGCTGTCATTGGTTTGGAAGAGCCAGGCCGAAATTAAACCAATGCAGCCCCACAATGCTGGGGACCTGGAAACAGAAGATGCCTTTAATATAGAAAAATGTCAGGACTCATAAGACATTTGGAAATACGGCATAAGGATCTCTGAAATGACAGAAATTAATTTCTGCAGCGTAGATAGAGGAAGGCAGTCGTCTTAGATTCTACAATACATTTTTGCATTACTTTATTTTTAAATACAGAAGTCAATTGTTTAAAAAGAAATATCTTCCAATCCGTCATAGCCACCTTTCAGTGTGAAAAAAACCAACTCTCATCCTCATTTGTGTACACCACCACCTCTAATGAAAAACCCTTCAGCTTTGATTTGCCTAATTATTCCTGACCATGTCACTGAGAAAACAGGATCCAGATCCTCTCAGTACAGCAATAAAGGGCTGAAATCAGCACCAAAAGCTTAGGTTTGCCATGAAAAATATAAACAGGGACCAAAGCAAGCAAAAAGCAAGCAGAAGTTTTCCAAAACTGAGGACTTTGTTTGCCTGCAATGACCTAACTTCACACAGACAAAATACACAACCTTGAAGTCCAAATTATGAATGATGGACCACAAGCAAGAAAAAAAGCTGCAATTCATCTGATTTTACCTACAGGAAACTCAGTCACAGACGTTACTTCTCCTCACCTTGCTGTTATATAGTCAAGATGCAACAAAGGATTAAATGGATTCAAAGAACATTCACATTTTCAGCTGGTACCAGTAAATGAAATGTATTTTGTTTGATCACAATAAAGGTAAAGTTATTAAAAAAAAAAAGAAAAAAAAGAAAAAAAAAAGAAAAAAAAAGAAAAAAAAGAAAAAAAAAGAAAAAAAAGAAAAAAAAAGAAAAAAAAAGAAAAAAAAAAGAAAAAAAAGAAAAAAAAGAAAAAAAAAGGAAAAAAAAAAAAAAGGCTTTTCCAGATTGGTATAGGAGAGGAAATATTTTTAAAAGACACAGGCATTTATCCTGAAGAAAAGCCTTTATTTAAAATTATCTTCCTGGAGATTTCATCAACAAGAGCACAGAGTTCCGACAATTTTAATTTCTCTTCTGAATGAAAATTCAGCTTTTTCATCAGAGTAGTAAAGACTTAGGAAAATTTGTTCAGATGTTGGAATATTAACACTATTGTAGCTCCCCTAAATTCCTCCCAGAGCCCTCCTGCCAGCAGAGCAGAACTCCCTGGCTGAATTCTGCCCAACTCCAGCATGTGTTGCTCCATGGAATTAATAATCTGGACTTCCAAGCTCTGCTCCTTAGTGAAGCTGATGATTTAAGGTAAAATCAGCACCAATGTTAGACAAAATGGGCTGAGAGGCACCTGGAGAGCACCAGGAGTGCCTGAGAGCTGTCCCCGGGCTGCCAGAGGAAGGGAAAAGCAGGGAGAGTGCAGAACTCATCACTTTAATAATCCCTGACTGCAGTGTAACTCCAGCAATTCCACGGCTCCTCAATCCCAGCGTCATTCCCCAGGGATCACCGTGGCTGATGGTAATTAGCATCCCTCTGATAGCCTCCTAAATGAATGGGTATGGAAATTAACACATCCCAGGGATGCAGAGGCAATATCTGCAAAGCAGGATTAAGTCATTCCTGACAGGCAGCTGAGGAAACACCATTCCCACCTACACTGAAGCCAGATCCTGGCATTTTGTATAAAAAATTGATTTATTTAGATCACTCAGAGATATTAAACACTGGTGTTTACAGTCCATGCATCTGCTGCAGTGAAAGCAACAGGAATATGTCACTATATTAATTTTAGGAAAGCAGAGAAAGCCATTCCCCCTTCCCTTTGTCCTGCCCTACTGTATATTTAATTCTTTGTATAAATTTGGGTTTGCTGTACCATAATCCCCCGGGGCCAAGAGGCAGTTGAGACCAAGGTTCCATAAATTCTCTGTCAGCTGGTTATTAACATTTATTTTTACAAAGGATATCTCCATGGGAAGTGTTTATGAAGACACATTTTAAAACAACTCCAGCAAGAAGTTTAGTTCCAGCCATACAAAATTTATAAATAGTATTTAGCTCAGTAAGGAAGTTTACATTTCACTCTTCTAGGCTGTATTACCACTGAATTTTCTATTTGCAAAGTCTATTCTTTTCCTGACAGCACCCTTTTCTAAAAGCTGTTTAAATACAACACTTTTATAAAAAAAAATAAACAAAAAAACCCCAACCAAACAAAAAAACAAACAGAAAAACACAAACCAAACAATGAACCCCACACAAAACACCCTCATTTCAAACCTGCAGGGAAACCAACCAAGTTATGGTAAAATCTGTTTGCCATACGTTTTCTTTCTCAATACTTATTTATTTGGGATAATTCAGGTGCTCATCTGTTGCCATCTCACATTGTCTTGAAATTACACTTGGAAAAAAATTAGGGTAAATTGACATGCAAATAATAAGTTTGGCCAGGAAGCACG